CTGAGTCATTGGACTATTTAAGCTGCAGCTGTCCTGCAGGTCTCCTGCTGCAGGCCGTATTTCACACGGTAAGCTGACTTTATTGCACCTGCAGAACCACGGAGGCTGCAGCAGCGCCTCTCTTTAAGCCTCAGAGAGGCAACATTTAGTTTTTCTATACGCAGCGACGCCGGATCATTACCTGAGCTGTAAACGAGCCGCAGCAGAGAGACGGAGGTCTTAGCAGTGCAGCTCTGGAGGAGCTTGTTAAATTGACTTCCTGTCACCTGGATTGATCGTCTTCGGCTGATCCTGCTGGTCGGATCTCCGGGTCGGAGTGTCTCAGGTCTCAGCGTTTGGAGGGATTCAGTGCAGAAGCAGCTTCTGTGTTTAGTCGTGGCTCTTTGGCGGATTTAGTAGATTTTATGCGACTGAAACTAAATAACATGAAAACACAACATGCAACAAGTTATGTACAAGTTGCTTCTCTGCAACCCCGACAAGAGAAACGGATGGATCACAGAGGTAAATGAGGATAATCAGGATAAAAAGACAAAAACACATTAAAGTCACATGACACCAGAAGCATCACTGCCGTCTCCTCTTATTTTACGGTACTGAAGCTACAAGCACAGTAAAATAAATCACTGTCAGAAGTAACACGGCTGAATAACTTCTCAGACTCGACATCATTACAAAAACCAGAACAGCACCAGCAGCACAATGTTCGGCACATTAATGCCACGTCATTAAAATTAATCTGAGTGTTTTTCTTTCATTGCTTCAGACTTTCTGAGATGCTCATCTGTCTTAAAGAAAAGTTTCTACCACTTTTATAATCTCCCTGCACACAGGCTGCATTCACACCGGCCCTGTTCAGTCCGCTCTAACTGAGCTCCAGTCCGAAGATAAACGTTTCTGGACATCTGATCCTTGACAACTGGAGAGCAGGACTCCTGAAACATGAACACTGAGGAAAACCCAAACACTGACCCAAACTGTCTGGGTCCAACATCACCGGGTCAGAACCAGATATGGACGTGTGAAAGAGGCGTGGCCAAGTGTGGAGCTGAGTGGAAGGAGGTCGAGACAAAAGAACCGTTTCCAACTCAACGACTTTCCAGACCCACCTAGTGACTTTTATCAAAAAAAAGCAACTAGCAACAAATCTAGAGACTTTTTTCTGATTGGAGAGTTTAATGCCGACTCCACTCTGTGTCCTGAATCAGTAGTGAGGGCGGCCATCAGCCTCTCACGCTTCGTCTGCACAGAAACATAAAGCTGCAACCCTAAACAACACATTTAGTCAGTTTATCAGTAAAAAAAGCAGATCTGGAGGTGAATTCTATACTATTTAATACTTCACAGTGACATTTACCCATCTGTGCTGTGGATGATGCTCCAAAATCTAAATAACATCCCAAATATGTGAGAGACAGAAAAATATTTCTCATTTTGAACAGAAACATAATTCAGATTAAATATGAATATATTTGGTCTCCACAGCTGCAGATCACAACACCGGTCTGATGAAGACATGCTGCTAAACAGTCCCAGTAATTACTTTGAGTTAATATTTCACACAACTGCAAAAATAAAACACTATCCGTGTTTTTCATATTAAAAGTATAATTGCACGTAATTAAACCCATCAGTGTTCTTATTTCTGAGGTAAATTCATGTTTTCTGCTCCAACTTGTGCATGTGAATGTTTTTCTGTCTCCTCATTGAGACGCTGCAGGTTTTGCCGCCTATTTAAAGGAGACATTTCAGGACAGTTTGAGATAAACGCTCATTATCTGACCACGTTTTGGCAGCTTGAAGCCTCAGAGGGACAGTCAGCGTGACGCCACCGGCAGCTTCTGCTGCTTCTCCTCCCGTCTAGGAAAACGCTTCCACAGCTATCGATGCGACATGCTGAGCTGGTCCGAGTCCTCCAGGGACAAACCAACCGGAGACGGGAGTTCGTTTCTGACAGAGATCCTACCTTCAGAATGACAGGATGATCAGCTCTGACTGCTGATGGAAAAACAGGCAGAACAAGCAGAAAATGCTGAAATGTCTCCAGTTCTTGGTGAATAGCAACCTAAAAATACAACAAGTTATTTTCAATTCTAAATCACACGTATGTCTGAAAACAGAGCAACAAAAACACATGCAGCTATTTTATTGCCATAAAGTTTTCTTCCTTTTGTGCCCATTTTTTCAAACTGGTGATGAATCTCATTAAATCTAATACTTTCTTAAACCTTGTGTAACTCCACTGATGGTGCTGGATCCACCTTTGGCCAGTTGGTTCTTATGAACATGAGGCATTATGAGACGCTTGAAGATAAAATTACAGAACAGCTGCAACTGTTCATCGTTATAATGGTGAATGATCCATCATCATAGTGACGGCCATCAGTCACTGGATTCGGATAAAACACACTTCCTTCTGCAGATGCAGAGGAAATAATAGACAATGATTTTAAATCCTTTAACAAAGAAAACAGAAAAGGTTGGAATGAAACGACCAAAACTATGATAGAAAGGATGAAGATGTGAAATTAGTAACTGAAAGTCATATAAACTTGTTTTATAGCCACTTTTCCATCAGTGTTTTGTTAATCGATGCCGTAGGCCGCATTCCCAGCTGTCCAGTTCAGTCCGCTTTAACCCAACTCCAGTCCGTTTGCCCAGAAAGTCCGGTTCGTTTGGGGAGGTGTGAAAGCGTAATCGAACTCTGGTCCTCCTACGAACCTCAATGTGGGTTCAGTTCAAACGAACTCTGGTTCAGTTCGAATGTGAACACCAAGCAGACCAGAGAGCGCTCCAAAAGCAGGAAGTGGACTACAGCACAGGGCATTCTGGGTAAATACAACCAAAACAAACATGCTAGCCTAGCGCTAGCGGACGAAATGGGTCGTGATATTTTGCCAAAGACAAAGGAGAAATCCTCCAACCACTAAAATCTGATGCTACTCCGTTTTTGTTTGGAAGTTGTGCTCAGTGTCTTCTTCAGAACCGTTTCTACTCAAATAGTCCAGAAGTTAGAACTAGAATACCTTTTAGGCTCCCAGTGCAGAAACTGACATTTCAGTACAGCCTGTTCAAAGAACAAGAAACATGAGACATGAGTAGACAGGTGTCGAAGGCTGCAGCCGTCATGGGAGGCGCTGCCCACACTGCTGGATTTATGCAAAATGTGCAGAGAAAAGCTCAGTTATTCTAAATCCTCATCTGTATTTCTATGTTTGGAAAATACAGATCACATTTTTAAATCTTCCTCATCTTTCTCCCTCCTGTGTGATCACACTTTTATTTGTCCGTTTGTTAAAAATCCACTTTTCCTGTCCAGGAAAGTGAGCAGGCAGATAAAGGAGCTCAATGTTTGGATCAAACTGCTAACTTCCAGAACCAGCAGCTTTGGCCCGGGAACCGCCCGAGGTCCGGTGCTAATTAATCCGGAGATCCTTCTGCTGGCTCAGAGTCTGCGTCTCCTCGCCAGAAGTCCTGCCCTCCTCCAAATCTGCTCCTCCTTTTCTCCTCTAGCAGTTAAAATCGGAAGTGCAGGTTTCACAGGGTGACTTTGAGACACACTATTACATCTCATTACCTACTTTTATTCAAACTGATTTAATCTGGCTTTAACTTTATTCAACTGGAATCAGACCAATAATGCTCCTTTATGCCCTGAAATCCTCTTTAATATGTAAAGTAGTGAAACGGCGACGCATCGGTTTCCACAGGATGATCAAAGTCTGGCTGGGAGCCATTTCAACGGGAGGATCCTCATCCTGAGGCCACATCAGAGTTCTGACGTGGACAGAGACTTTCTGAGCTACGTTTAATTAACCAAGGTTGTTAGTTTCCAACTAATTACTCAGCAGGACTTCAGCCGCAGTGCAGAGAAAAACTGGAAGGTTTTCCGGGTCAAAGATCAACTTGAAAGGCTGCCACTGACCTCTGCAGGTCAGAGCGGGACAACTTTCTGCTTTTATTTTTTAGGAGCAGATGTCTGGGTGTTGTATTCTACTTCTTTCTCTCCTCTACTTTTATTTCCGTCTTTCTCTTCAAACCTTTTCCCCACCTCTCTTTGTGTCCATTACATCTGAAATAAACCCAAAGCCATTTCTGATAGTTCTGCATGTATATCAAGTGAAAGCCGCATCGCTCCGCTTGTGAAAGTAAACCTGTTGTGCTACTCAGAAACAATCCTGATTTCCACACCGTCTCATTTACAATCAGTTAGAAACTCGGCCTTCCATCACCTGAAGAACATTTCCAGGATTAAAACACCAACGTTTCAGCAAGATCTAGAAACTCATCCATGCATTTATCTTTAGTCGCATTGATTACTGAAGGTGTCTTTACAAGTCTGCCTAAAAATATCACTCAGACATCTGCAGGTGATCCAACACGCTGCTGCTGGCGTTCTGACTAAAACCAGGAAGACAGATCACATCACCCAGTCCTTACTCTGAGAGAAGAGACTTTAAAATACTGTTGGTGGTTTATAAACGGCTTTGCACCAAATTACATAAAAGATCTGCTGGTGTTGTATCAACCTGCCAGAACCTCCCAGGTCTTTGGTTCTGGTTCTGCTCTGCATTCCCAGAACCGGAACCAAACATGGAGAAGCAGCATTCAGTTTCTATGCACCACAAATCTGGAACAAACCTCACGATAAATGGAAAGCAGCCGAAACTCTGAGTTCCTTTAAGTCCCGACTAAAACCCACCTGGTTGGAGCTGCTTGTGATTAACAAGATCTGGATCATTGACCATCATTTGATGTGTATTGATGATTTTAACTATGGCAGTTGACCAAATGTAATGTCAGTTATCTGTTCACAACTATTGACTATATGTTGTGTTTGTAATTTTTTGGTTTTCATGATGACGGCGGAGTCCGGCGACGATAAAAACAAAAGTGTTTTTATCTTTTTTAAAATCTCTTTCTTACTGTTTATTCAATGTCACATGCTGTTTTTATTTGTTCTTTAATTATGTAAAGTACCTTATAATGCCGTGTTGCTGAAATGTGCTATGCAAATACACCTGATTTATTCAAGTGAAAAAAGCCAGAGAGAACGAACAGCAAATATTTATTTTTCTGATCTACATCCAAAGTATTTAATAGAAAATAGCATCAGCTCTAAGTTGTTTGTTTCAGTTTCTTGAAAAAAGACACAACAGCAGAGAAGTTTAGATTTTCATATGGAGAAATATTTCAGGGTTATATAAAAACGAAGTGATTTACTTTATGACTCCTGGAACGCAGACGACATTTAAACCAGAAAAATAAATACTGGCAGAGCAGAGAAGAACAATGAACCCTGACCAACAATCAGAGAGAAAACCTATTTGGGTTTACAGAACTCTGCAGTGTCTCCAGTCCAGCGGAACCAAACCCCAGCATGTAGCGGCTCAGTGAATCTGGTCTGGACTCTGTGGATCAGAGTCATGGATTCAGAGACGCTGTAGAAGGACAGAAGACCTGCTCTGTGGTCCAGGTACACTCCGACTCTGGAGGAAACTGGACCTGAGACGGGGCTCCAGATGTTGTTGTGACCAAATTGATAACCATCTGAGAAACAATTTAAAGCCCAAGATTTATCATTACCTCCAAATCCACATTCATTCCCACCTCCTGCTCTGCTGATGTTCTTGTATGCGACTGCAACAAAAACTCTTCCTCTAAACTCCACCTCCCAGTAACAAAGTCCAGTCAGACTCTCTCTACTGAGGATCTGACAGTAATCAGTGAATCTGCCTGGATGACTAGAATAAAACTGAGATTGGTTCATCGCCGTCACCTTCCTGTTCCCCTCTGATAGAACCAGCTTTGTGTGAGCCGTGTTTGGATCCAGAGTGATTTCATATGAATATTTTAAGAATTCAGCTCTGGTCTTTGGTTCTGGTTCTGACAGTAGAACATCCACCTTGGTGATTTTCAGTGAGATGTTTGTCCATGAGTCTCTCAGGACGTCCTGTAGTTTGCCTCTGAGCTCTGACACAGCTGCTGTCACGTCCTCAAAGTGTCTCAGAGGACGGATCTTGATGATGGATGAGTGTGTCGACTCACTGAGTGCTGGCAGTGAGTGGTAGTTGAGGAGAAACTGGTTGTGATCCTCTGTGTGTGAGAGCTGCTCCAGCTCAGCGTCTTTCCTCTTCAGCTCAGTGATCTCCTGCTCCAGCTTCTCCTGAACATCTTTGACTCGACTCACTTCAGTTTCCTGCTGGGATCTGATCTGCTGCTTCACATCAGAGCTTCTTTTCTGGAGGAAATGGATCAGCTGGGTGAAGATCTTCTCACTGTCCTCCACTGTTTTATCAGCAGAGACATTGATGGCCTCCACCTCCTGCTGAAGCAGCTTCACATCTTTCTCCTGGTCCTGGATTCTCTGCTGGATGTTTCCTCGTCTCTCCTCCAGCTCTCTCTGCCTCTCAGTCCTTTCTGCTGCAGCTGACACTGTGTCATGGCCTTTATGTTCATCCAGTAAGCAGAAAGCACAGATGCACTTCTGATCAGTGCGGCAGAACATCTTCATCACCTCATCATGCTTAGAGCAGATGTTCTCCTGGAGGTTCTTGGACGGCTCCACCAGCTTGTGTTTCTTAAATGCAGCTGAATCATAATGAGGCTGAAGGTGTTTCTCACAGAAAGAGGCCAGACAGACTAAACAGGACTTGATGGCTTTCAGTTTTCTTCCAGTGCAGAAATCACAGGCCACATCTTCAGGTCCAGCATAGCGGTGATCAGCAGGAGCAGCTTGGAGTCCAGTCTTCTTCAGCTGCTCCACTAAAGCTGCTAGCATGGTGCTCCTCTTTAGTGCAGGCTTCGGTGTGAATGTCTCCCTGCACTGAGGGCAGCTGTATGTTCCTTTCTGATCCTCTTTATCCCAGTGGGATTTAATACAGTTCATACAGTAGCTGTGTCCACAGGGAATCGTTACCGGATCCTTCAGCAGATCCAGGCAGATCGAACAGGAGAAAGTTTCTTGGTCCAGCTGATTCTGCTCCATTTCTGCTCTCAGACACAGCGACTGTGAGTTTCAGTTCCTCGGACCACAAACACGGTTGAGCTCTGATCTACAAACCATGTGTCAATGCATAAAGGCTGCAGCCAATCAGCTTTCAGCTTCAAGGTGTGTTTGAGCAGGAAGAAGAGGGAGGAATATCAGACGTTGATTCCAGGAAGAGGAAGGCTCGAAGTGATAAGGTTTAAAGATTAACCATCTTCACAAGTTTTCTGTTCAAAACAACAAACTACAAATAACATTAGTGAACAATGGAAGGTCGAGTTCAAACCTTATTAGGAAATTAGAAGATAATACAGGGACAAGATAATGTAATTGATATGTATTTCTCAAAGACATGCCCTGAGGCAAGTTAATATGTCAACTCCAGGAAATGATAAACTCTCTAATATAATGGGAAGATAACTTGGTGGATCTGCATGATAAAGCACGGGAATGTGGAACACTGGCTAAAAGTTGGAAAGAGGAAGTAATGGCACAAATCCCAAACCTGGGGAATATTTATACAAATCCAGGAAATTATAGGTCCATTCCATTAACATCCTTCTGTAAAAACTATGTAGAAAGTGATAAATGACAGATTAAGGTAAAGTTATATTTAAAAAATACTCAAGTTCTGAATTTGAAAAGCTGAGAACAGAGAAGAAATAGATCTATATTTTGTTGTTGTTTCCATTAGGTACATTTGAAGACATTTCCCTGTTATAGTTACTGATAAACACCTAATACAACCTGCTGTTTCCACTGGATTTCAGACAGGAAGCAGCAGCCAGGTGCTGTTGGCTGAAGGCCCTGATTACCTGATCAGGTCATTAAGCGACTCGGTGTCGATTAATGAAGCTGAACCAGTACGGCAGATTGGAAGTGTTCAAGGAGAAGGCCTTGGTTGAGAAGAACCAGCAGATTAGCAGAAACCCGTCATACCAGCTGCTGAGCATGGTGGAGGAGGGCGGGTGATGTGGGCTCGTCCTGCAGCCACCGGTCCTGGGTACTTCGGACTCAATAAGGCTACGTTCACACAGCAGGTCCTGATGCTCAGTTCAGATTTATATTTTGCTGAAATCAGATATTTTGTGATTGTTTGTACAACCAATAAAATGCCACTGCAATCCGTCTGGGGGACGAATGATTTACGACCCTAAAGCACCGAGAAGAAGAATGTAGACGTCACACAGCAGCGCTCTGTTTACTGAGGAAATGATCGATCTATGGATCGGTTTTAAAGTTATTCAGCAACGACAGTATCATCACGACCATTGCTTCGTCCAGATTTACTGCGTTTGGCCTCTTCTGGTACCAAATTATGAGGCATGTTGGGTAAAATGCAACATGGCTGCTGGACTGCAGGTGCTTATAGATGCGCATCTGATTTAGTTACAGAAGTGGAAGTGGTACGAATCCGACTGTCTTTTGGGTGAAAAGATCGGAAACGGGTCATTCAGACTGAATGTGAACGCAGCAACCAGGATTTCCTCTGAATGCCAAAGAATTCCAGAAACTTGACCAAACCTTGGTCACCAACTGGACTGATTCCAACAGCAGCAGATTTACATAAGAAAAAAGAAGTTGTTACAACGGCCTAGTCAAAGTTTGGAGCCGAAATAGAGCTCTCCAGAAACAAACCGTTGACTTCATTCCCAGTTGCCTTTTCTCTCAGCAACGTTTTGTTTTTCAGTTTCGTTCTGATTGAACATGTTTCATATTACGGGCCTTAAATCTTTATTTTAAACTATGATGTCATCATTCAGATTTTAAAATGTATTGTTTTCCGTTTCCTCCTCTGATTCTCTGCTTGAGGAACAGTTGGAGTCTCTACGGACGGTGAATCTGCAGCGTCATGCTGTGTCATTAATCCCACGTCTACAGATAATGTGAGTGTGAAACAAACTGTTTTCCAGGATCCAGAGATCCTCTGCAGCTCTGCAACCTGCTGCAGCAAACGCTACCGAGTGTTTTAGCTGGGGTTGCCTAGCAACTGGGACTCGGCTGTGTCATTGTGTTGTTGCGGAAGCACAAAACACACTCATTACAGACAAACACACACACACACATCTTGATCCGAGCCCTCACACCCACCAACCTGCTAAATATAGGTAGGTATTGATGCAGTCAGCAAACCGGTGTCGTCTCAGGAAAACATCGGGTCACGGTTCTGCTTAATGCATGAACCCGGTATCATTCTTTCACTTCAACTGTTTACAGCAACAAGGTGCTCTGATCGCTTTAAAGACCAAACATTGCAGATTTCAGGCTGAAATGAGGTGATTGTGTACAATAACCACTGGAACTGGTCCAAATCACAGTGGTGGAGGGACTGGTGGTGAAACAGCAGGACGTAAGAGAAGGAGACGGCCTCATCAGCCCTTCACAGGTGCTTCAGCTCGGGGAGGAGGAAAACAAAACTGAAACACTGCCGATAAAGACCTGAGCTGGTTTCTACATGGTGACTTGCATCTGCAGAGATGGAAAAACTCAAGTTTTCCATTTACAAAGACGTAAAGCTACAAAAAGAAAAAAATTACTGGAGTCAAGACACTTGAGCTCATTCATAGGAGAGGTTTTTTTATTTGTGCTGACGACTGATTTGCATTTAGAGTACAGAAAACACCTGAGCTCTTCCACTGAAGGTGAACTAAGTCTCTGACAATCCTCCGTTACGTCTTACCTGGGGCTGTGATTGGCTGGGTAATAAACCTCCTGATGCAGAAATCAGGAAGTTGAGGCATCCATCCTTGACTGGCACCAGATTCTCACATTACATCCAACCTTAGCGTTTCCCAGAGGGGTAATGCTGCCGAGGCTGAGCTCAGCTAAGCCCAGGAATTGAGGCTCAAACACCAGGAGCCTGCTAACGAGCTCCCCCCTCCTGGAGCCAGGCCCCATCCAGGCCTGGCTCCAGGATGGGGCCTAGCTCCCCCCTCTGAACCCAGGCCTGGCTCCAGGGTGGGGCGATGAGGCCTAGCTCCCCCCTCTGAACCCAGGCCTGGCTCCAGGGTGGGGCGATGGGGCCTAGCTCCCCCCTCTGAACCCAGGCCACCCTCCAGGATGGGGCGATGGGGCCTAGCTCCCCCCTCTGAACCCAGGCCTGGCTCCAGGATGGGGCGATGGGGCCTAGCTCCCCCCTCTGAACCCAGGCCTGGCTCCAGGATGGGGCAATGGGGCCTAGCTCCCCCCTCCGAACCCAGGCCTGGCTCCAGGATGGGGCCTCTGTCTCCCTATTCCTGGCAATCTTCTCCAGCAACTGTGGAAGGAACGTGCTGACGAGCTGCTTGCCTTACCTTCAGTTTATACTTGGCAGCTTCTAGTGATACCGCTCTGGTGGGCAGCTACTGTACCTGCGTGGCATTGACCAGACCACTTTCAAAAACAGAGAGTTGAAGTGCAACAAAGCAAGCTAAGGTGTGAAGTTTTCTCCACCCACTCCACAGAGTTCTCCAGATCAAAGGTACTCGAACCTCGCAGACAGTCGGGGTGGCGAGTCGACCGAAGAAACTTATTGCCAAACATCAACAAAAAAACACAACTCTGCTGTATGTGAACCACCATTGGACCTGTTTGATATTTGGAACAAAATCTAAAGGAAAAAACAGTTTTTCCTTTTCTGCTGGGTTGATCTTCATTCTCCTCTGGGATCCCAAGAAACTGAAGCAAAAACGCAAGTCAAACTAATGGGAATCATTCTGGCCGTGACCTTGACCTCAGTGCAGCTGCCTCCCATCCCAATTGGTTCCCACTCTTCTTCTGCATGAATATTCCCACTGGGATCACCTTTCCACAGTCCATGTAAGCAACAGTGGTACTGATGTAACAGTCGGACTTCCAAGTGGACTACAGGCCTGAACTGAGCCGTTCAGTGTAACTAAGATGTTGACTCTTCCACTTTCTGCATGTTAGACAATAAATTTGGTCAAAACAATTAACAGATTGAACTCATTCTTGGTAAAAGGGCTTTTAAGAAAAGTTGCTATATTTCATGTATTAATGATAAAGATGAACAGCAACTAAACCAAAAACAGACAGCAAAGGTGTTCAAATACTCCTTCATATCAGAAAACATCTGCTTGGGTCCATCGCTTTGCCTGGAATCACCTTCATGCCAATGCAATCATAAACTAAAGCCATAAAGCTTTTTCTTTGCTAGTTAATACGGTGAAACCAAACTCTGCCAAGCATGTTCCAGCTAATCCAAAAAATACAGAAAAAGGATGTAAAAAAGGCTGCCAGCAGTAGATGTGTGTGAGTTGGCGGCTTTGGAAGAGGAAAGACAAAAAAAGTGGGGCGAGAGGCAGAAATAAAAGGCTGGCGGGAGACGAGAAAGGAACATAGAAGCAGAAATAACCGACAGCTGGTGGCGGGGAGCTGAGAGCATGGCAACAAGAGGCTGATAAAAGAGCAGAGAGTCGACCGCATCCCTGAGAAAATAGTTCAAACACCGGTCCTGAAGAACAGCAACAAAAGAGAAGTAGGTCTCACAGATGCATTGCTGCCTCACCCTTACATTTATCTGATATATATGGATGAAAGCAGAGCAGTTCTCTGCACCTGGACTTGTACGTTCATATAAAACCAGAGCGGAGGCTGATTGGCAGGCAGCAGCAGCAGCTGGGTGGACAACCGATGGAGCGTTTGAGGAGGACAAACACAGACAGAGATGTGAAGCCTGTGATCAATAATTCAGAAGCCAGGGACGGCTGGAAAATGTCAGGCGGCTCTGAATCTTCACACCACTACGAACACAGAGTCTGCAGGTCTGTCAGGTTGAAAGGAGGGAGGTCTCTCTTCTCTGTCCTGGAGCAAACCTCCAGCACCTTTTCCCTGCTAGGAGAAGGTCACGCTGGGTTTCATTAGCCTTCTGTTAGGGGGCAGAATGTCTAACAGTTGTGGGTTTGATTCCTGTTTCCCTCCTGGAACATATCAATCTGCCTTTTGCCGCAGCAGCTGAAGCCAAATTACCCACCAATCTGCATACTGATGCATGAAAGAGTGCTAATTTCTGAGTGTCAGTCCATTTAGTGGGACTAA